GCTGAAGCCCAAGGTTGACGGACTTTTACCCAGCCCCTAGAGCCTGGTACTTTGTACTTGGATTTCTAGCCTTCAAAATTGTAAGAGAATAAACTCCTGTTTGTTAAAGCCATTCCACCTGTGGTGTCTTCTGTTAGAGTTGACACTAGGTAACCAGAACACCTAGTAATGGACTCACTTCCATGGATTGGCTCTCAGTCCAACAGTATACATAGACCTACATGCAGAACACCTACCTCAGGGCAATGCACTCACCTACTCTAGGGAGATGTATCTTTTAGATCAATCAGCCATTAGACATCAGAGGGGCAGTATTCACATAGAGGGAAAGCTGGACAGACAGGAATGCATAGTTAAGAAGGGCACAGGGAGGAGGTAGATACAGGGAGGAGAGGGGAGGAGAAATTTTTATGGTTGGGGAGGGTAATTGGGGCCATGTAATCAAATGTACATGAATTGTTGAACGTAAAACAAATCTGCTTTGTAAATTTGCACCCCAAGAAAGATAAAATAAATAAATAAAACACTTATTTGCCAGCTAAATAACTTATAGGCTACCAAATCATTTTTGCCAAAAGGACTTACAAGTTTTCTAAAGCAGTGTTCTTCAAATTGCAAGGTGCAGTCTTTTCGAAGGTTGTAAAATCAACATAATGGGTAACTACTACTTTTTTTTCCCAATGAACTTGCTATTTTGGAATAGTTTTTAGGTTACAGAGAAGTTGCAAAGATAGTGCAGAGAGTGCTCATGATCATTAGCCATTAGAGAGATGCAAATCAAAACAACAATGAGATACCATCTTGCTCCAGCACTAGTAGCAAAGTTCAACAAGACAGAAAATAACAAATGCTGGCGAGGGTGTGGAGAGATTGGGACTCTCATACACTGCTGGTGGGACTGTAAAATGGTACAACCATTATGGAAAGCAGTATGGCAATTCCTTCAAATACCATTTGACCCAGGTATTCCATTACTAAATATATTTCCTAAAGAAGTGAGAGCCATGACAAGAACAGATAATGCACACCGATGTTCATCGCAGCACTATTTGCAATAGCCAAAAGATGGAAACAGCCTAGTTGTCCATCAGCTGAGGAATGGATTACCAAACTATGTACATACACACAATGGAATACTATGCAACCCTAAAGAATAATGTAGAATCCGCAAAACACCGCATAACATGGATGAACTTGGAGGACATTATGCTGAGTGAAATAGGTCAATCAGAAAAGGACAAATATGGTATTAGTCCATTTTTGTAAAAGTTAAGGAAAGGTTTATCTATAGAAGGAAATTTTCTTTGTTGGTTACCAGGGGTGGGAGGGGAGGGGAGGGACTGCTGTTAGATAGATAGAGAAAAGTAGTGGGTGAAGAGAAGAGCAGTGGACCAAATGTGAATGACCAATATGGCAGCATTGAGGATGAGAAAGACATAGAGTGGTACATTGGAGGTACAGACAACAAATATGAACCCTTTTGCACATACAGTATTGCATTGTCAGTGAAGGCAAACATGGGTATATGGGTGGATAGATGGATGGACAGGCTGAAAGATTATGTATGTCTATGAAATGGGTTGTGTATCCAAGAACATGTATAGGGTTGGGAGACAATGGTCCTATAAGTTTATGTGAATGATCAGAGTTCCCAGGTGTATAGTAGAGCTGACAAGGGGCAAGGTTGTGGTCATTGCTTGGTCACAGCCAGCTACCCAGAGGGACTGAATACTTGAACCTGCGGGCTTGGGACCATAGACGCAGTGGGAGGGGAACTGTTGCATTGTGGTAAACTGTGGTCAATGTCATGAGACAAAGTGTATGTGAACTGCTGTATGGAAAGTGAATTTGTTCTGTAAATCTTCACCCAAATCACAATAAAAGAAAAAAAAAAAAAAAGAATGAGGAAAGGTTAGGATGAAGCTCTGTGTCCTGGAGGGCAGCTATCTCTATATATTACTTGGAATTCTTCTGTATGGAAAACTTGTCCCTTCCCCATTTATTTGTTTATTTAGTCATTTATTTATTTCAATATTGTCTCATGTATACTTATTTTGTACTTTGGGATTTGTTCCAATACTCCATTATTTATTTTGCTGCTTAAATTTCCCAGCTTTGGTTTTTGGAAGCTCTTTCAAGTTGCCTCCTTTGTTCCTTTTGACATATTCCCATTCTTGCTTTTTGAGTACTTCCTTGCTTGCTCCAATATTTCCCATGCCCCAGTGCTAGAATCAAGGAGCCATGATTCATTTTACCAAAGAACGGTATTTAGAAACCAAAATCTAATCACTGGGTCTGCTTGTTACTGTTGTCATTGCTTATAGACCTTCTCAGTGGACAGAGCTAGGTAATCTATGTATGTATACTAACCATATATGTACATGTGTCTGTAATTGTTCCTGAGCCCATGCATTTGAATGTATATTTAGTCTATACTGATGTTTCCAACTCTAATCTAATATGTGGTAGGATTTTAATGTGCATGTTAACTTCTTAATCATGCTTTGCTTAGATTTTTGTTTGCATTCTCTATGCTTTTCTGACTAGGCAACTAAAGTAAGGGAATTTCAAGATCTATAGACTGGCTAAATACTGAAATGTTTCAATGAATAATTCTCCTATAGTAGATCAGCTGCTTATAAGTAGTGGAGAGGTCAGTGTAAGTTTTCTATATTTGCTTTTTTTAAAAAGTGTTATTTATTTTGTTGTTGAGAACAAACATACACCAAGTCAACAGTTTCTACATGTGTAAACCAAAACCACTGCTATTGAATCAATTCTGACTGATAGTGACTCCATTGGGTTTCTGAGGTAAATCTTTACAGATGTGGATTTCCTGGTCTTTCTTCTACAGAGTGGCTGGTGAGTTTGAACTGCCAGCCTTCTGGTTAGCTGTCAAATGCCTTAAGCACTGCACCTCCAGAGTTCCTTCTAACCCTCCTCTTCTGAGTTGTTCCTCCCTCATTAACATAAATTTACTGCTGCCTACAGTTCCTATCAGGGAGCTCTGGTGGCATAGTGCCTAAGGCATCTGACTGCTAACCATAAGGCTGGCGGTTCAAACCCACCAGCCATTCCTCAGAAGGAAGATCAGGCAATCTACTTCCATAGTGATACTGCTTTGGAAACGCAAAGAGGGGTCACTATGAGTTGGATCCGACTTAGCAGTTTTGGTTTGGTTTACAGTTCCTATCTACTCCTCGGAAGGAAAATGGGGCAATCTACTTCCGTAGTGATACTGCCTCGGAAACCCAAGGAGGGGTAGCTATGAGTTGAATCCGACTTGATGGCACATAACAACAACAACAACAACATCTAATATTTCAAGTTGCTGTTGTCAGTTTGATCCCATCTGTTATTTGTGTTTATGATGTTATATGTAAATGCTTTAACTATTGCAGCTTTCTGTTTTTGAAACCTATGTATTTAATTCAGTATAATGGATTGTTGACATTTTATTCATTTTATTTTCATTAATAAATTGAAGACTATGTATTCACAAACTAATGTGATTTGAGAAATAGAAACCAAGCAGTTTCTTAGTTTTCTTATTTGTAAATTTGTAAGTTTGCAAATTGTAGATGATAATTTCTACCATATGAGATTCTATTGAAGAATAAATAAGTGTGTCTATTGGAAAGTATTTTATAAACTCTAAATTCTAGCATAAGTTAGATAACATATGTTAGGATTACCATCATCTAGCAAGAGTTGATTAAATACATTTACTTTGGTGTAATTTTTTTAATATATATTGTGATTAGAGGCATCTCAGGGTTGGTTCTTTATTCCAATTTTTATAATTACTTTTATAAATATTTTTACAATAATGACCTTTGAATCATTAATTCATCCACCATATTATTGAGCTTCTATGTCTAGGCGCAAGTTATACCTTGGTCAATGAAATGGCCATAGCCCAGCTCACATGCAATATGGACCTAATAACCCAATTTCTAACTTATCAGTCTTTTTATTAACTTTAATGGAAATCAAGCAGAAGTCTGGTATCACGGCCTCCCAGAAGCCTTTTTGGTAATAGTTTTGCATTTCAGTAAATCTACATTGCTTTTCCTGTCACCCTTAGTGATTATTAGAGGTTTGCAGTCAGCCTTCATAGAGTAGTTTTATTGCCCTGGTGAATCACCCCACAGAGAGGAAATTCCCTGAGAATGGGGGCATTGCCAGTCATGTTCTGCAAAGAAAGATGAAAAGAGTATGACTAGTCCTTATGAGACTGTGGCTGTATTTTCCCAGATAGAGGGATCCTACCTAGTAGGAAGCAGCAATAGATACTTGGTTTTATTTTAATTTCAGGGCTAGAAATACCACCTCCTATCCCTGTCTTCCCTTATAGTCACTCCCTCAAAGCTAGAGCTAAAACTCTCTTACTAAGCTATCTGCCCATATATGTTGACTTCCTCAATACTATAGGAATAGAGTATTATTAATTAGCTAATTAGATATCAAGTTCTGTAAAAGCCCACTGTGAAATTGATTTTAGGGGCTGTCATTAATATTCATTATATGGGCTAGTACATTTTCTCTGGTTAAAATCTGTTTTAGGGTGCGTGTCTAATAAATATCAGGCATATGCTGGGTATAATTGTACCTAATTCTCATGCTCCCACAATACTCTAAGGAATAGATGCTATCTGCATTTTGTAAATGATGAAATCAAGGCCAGACAGCTAGGAAGTAGCAGAGCTGGTATTTGAATCTAGGTTTTTCTGATCTCAGATTGTGATCTTTCTACTTCATGAGCATTTTAAAGTAAATCTGAATCATTTATCTCTTCTTATAAGGTACTTCCCTTCTGAGAATTTTGAAGTTTATAAACAATGACCTTATAAATAACTCTATTTTTAATATAAGGGATTGAAATAACAGCTATTAGAATAATTTCTATAATACATTATGGTGAACGATATCAAATCAATTATGTGTGAACTCACATTGTCCTCCCATAAAACACATTTATCATAGTTTGTCATTTATAGGAAGAGAGAAAGGAATCCCATGGATATATTTGACATGGCCAGACATCGGTTGCAAGCTCCTGTCAGACGGCCATCTCCTAAGGGCTTAGACCCCACCACTTTTCAGAATATTCATGACTTTAATGAGCTGAAAGATAGAGGTGAGTAGAATGCTGCTGTTTTAAAGATGCATCAGGAATATTCTACCCATACATACTCAAATATCTTTAAATATGCTTGTACCTTTTTTAAAAGTAAAATTCATTTATGATGTGTATTTTTAATTATGATGAATTAAATGGCATAGTGCCTAAAGCATTTGACTGCTAACCAGAAGGTTGGCAGTTCAAAGCCACCAGCCACTCCTCAGAAGGAAGGTTGGGCAATCTACTTCCGTAGTGATACTGCCTTGGAAACCCAAGGAGGTGTTGCTGTGAGTTGGAGATGATGCGATTGCACATAGCAACAACAGTGTGAAGAATGGACCAAAACCAAAGCAGTTGCCTTTGAGTCGGTTCTGACTCATGGTGATGCCATATGTTGCAGAGTAGAACTTTACTACATAGGAGTTCATGGCTGTGACCTTTCAGAACCATATAGCCAGGGTTTTCTTCCTGGGCACTTCTGGATGGGTTTGACCCTCCAACCTGTTGGTTAGCTGTCTAGTGCTGAACGATTTGTGCCACCAGGGACTTCTGTGAAGAATGGAACTTTGCATTTAATGTAGGATGGAGAGAATAATATGAGTACATGAAAAAGACTGAGATGGAGAAATCAGAGCAACTGGAGAAGGAACAGGAGAATGAAGTATCTTGAAAGCCCAGGAAAGAGAATGTAAGCTGAATATTGGAAAGTATCAGTTGGATCATAGGTCATTGGTGACCTCACTAGATCTTTTTAAGTGGAATTATGGAATCACAAGCCAATTAAATTTGGGAATGAGAATTGAACATGAGGCAAGGTATCAGAGGCAATAAGTATAACACAGGAGATGGAGGACGGGAGGTAATTACTGTTAAAGAGATCAGGGGCCCTGAGAAGGCAGGAGGAAATCTAGGGGATTTGAGGGACAAGAGTAGAGAAGATTAGATGTAACTACTTGGAGGGAGGAGGTCTGGTAGCATAATGCCTAAGGCACTTGACTGCTAACTAGAAGGCTGGCTGTTCAAACCCACCAGCCACTCCTCAGAAGGAAGGTTGGGCAATCTACTTCCGTAGTGATCTCGCCTCGGAAACCCAAGGAGAGGCCGTTATGAGTCGGGTCCGACTTGACGGCACATAACAACAACAACAACTTAGAGGGAGTACGGAGAAAGCTTATTAGGGAAATATAGGATTACCAAGGTACACTGAGACTTGGGAGACTGAAAATATGTTGTTGTAGTTGTTATCTGGTGCTGTTGAGTCTATAGGAGCATTCAGCAGAGCAGGTGTTGGAGCGGAAGAGGCAAATTGTTGCATGTTTGGTCATATGACATTATAAGTTTTTCTTCTTTTTAAAAGTAAGAGTCCTTAACCCTCAACTCACTGCCGTTGAGTCAGATCATAGCAACCCCTCCTAGGGTTTCCGAGGCAGTATCTTTATGGAAGTAGATTGCCCAACTTTCCTTCTGGGGAGTGGCTGGTGGGTTTGAACTGCCAGCCTTTTGGTTAGTAGTCACATGCCTTAGGCGCTATGCCACCAGGGCTCCTTGGATGATGCAAAAGTATTATGTATTTATTACAGCAAATTTGAAAATACAGAAAAAAAGAGGAGGAAATATCATTTTAGTCAAACCTAAATACAAACACTGTTAGCATTTTAGATGTTTTGTAATCTTTCTGAGCGTAATTATAACAAAAAATAAAACAACATTGTTGCTATTTATTCAATTTTCTATTTGTTTTTTCACATAGACTTTACAACTATCATCAATTACATGTACTATAGTTATTTTCTTATACTGTTATTTATTGATTACTTACTATAAGCCAGACTTCGTACTAAGCCAGTAGTTCTCAGAGATTGGTCCAGGGACCCATGGGGTTCCTTTCAGGAGACTGTGAAGTGAGAACTATTTTTATAGTAAGCTGTTATTTGACTTTTTCACTCTCATTCTCTCATGAGTGTTCAGTGGAGTTTTCCAGAGGCTACATGATAAGTGATGACTTTATCACTATGAAGCTAATGGAGTATGTGCTTGTGTATTCTTAGGTTTTAAAATATTCTGTTTTAATTTCTAGTGTAGTACCTGTGTGTGTGTGTGTGTGTGTGTATGTGAGAGAGAGAAATGTAAGCTCTTTGAGGTCCTCAGTTTTTGTTTTTTAAATTTCTTTTTCTTTGAGGGATGGATAATACTGAATTTATAGGAAAGTTGCAAAGATAGTACAGAGTTCCCTTAAATTTCTCACCTGGTTTTCTCTAATGCTTGTTGTTGTTAGTTGCTGTGGAGTTGATTTTAACACATGGTGAACCTGTATGTCCAGAGTGAAATTGCTCCATAGGGTTTTCAAGCAGTTTGGAAGCAGATCACCAGGACTTTCTTATGAGGCACCTCTGGGTGGGTTCAAAGGGAAAACCTTTCAGCATTAGCCATTTGCACCATCAAGATACTCCTAAGGTCTTCAGTTTTTAACAGTATAAAGAGGTCTTGATAACCAAAGGTTTAAACCAGAAAACTAAGCCATTCATTTCCCTTTGTTTCCACATTTAGTCCTTTTTCAACATACAACTTAGTTATTGGTATCCCTTGGTTTTACAGATGAGGAAACTGAGTTTGGAAGTGGTGAAGCCAGGGTTCAATCTCAGTTTATGTGTCTAGCACCTCCTCTGTTAAGCAAAACATGTTGCTTCTAACCATTTTCTAATTCTTAGATTGTTCAAGATGTTTCCCATTTTTCGCTATTATATTATTTTGATTATTTTTTAATAATATATTTTATATATATTTAGGATCATAATTAATGGGTGAAAGGAGATAATATTTTCAAGCCTTTTTATATAAATAAACTATATTTTTATTCTCAAGATTTAAAAATTAATATTTAATATTTTCATTCTCATCAGTTGATATTCTTCAACTAGTGGCAGAATTTAATTCTTAGACTGTCATTTCTTTACTCTAGTAATACATCCCTGCTAAGGTTCTAGCCAGTCTACATTTTTCTTGCTTTCTGAAAGATATTATTTTGAAATGAACATGAATTAATAATTGGCCAATGACATTATTTTTTATTTTTTCATTATATTTTAGGAATCATCTGTGATTACTATGTCTCATGGCATTCCTGAGTCATAGCCATGTGATTAATCACTTGGAATGTATTTTTTTCTTTATAGACCAGGCATATGGATCTAGTTGCCCTGCAGTGTGTTCTGGGTGATGTCTTGGGAGAGTGAAAAGCTGGGGGTGAAGAAAGTGTCCATAAGCTGCTACTTGTTCTGGAAACTTCCTTAGAATGTTGATAAGTTTGTGAAAAGACATTTATTTAAAGAAAATTCATTTCATGTTCTTTAGTTTCATGACTCTTTTAAAGTCCATGATTCATATTATTGCTTGATTATGAAATTAGGTTACTCATATTATTTATAGTGAGGTTTTGTAAAATCTCATCTGAAAGCAATATTTTATTTAGATAACTTATTTCTTGCACCAGATTCAGAAACACGAGTTGATCTGAAATTTATGTACCCGGATCCTCCTAAAGATCATCATACCCTGGAGATTCAACAGCAAGCCCTGCTAAGAGAGCAGCAGAGGAGGTTGAATAGGATAAGAATGCAGGAAGGTGCTGAAGGTAAAAAATAAGCTTGCATTGTACAGGATTGAACCCATTACCGTTGAGTCAGATGCAGCTTACAGCAGCCCCATTGGACAGAGTAGAACTGCCCCATAGGATTTCCAAGGCTGTAATCTTTATGGAAAGGAGCTCTGGTGGTGCAGTGCCTGAGGCTCTTGACTGCTAACCAGAAGGTTGGCAGTTCAAACCCACCAGCCACTCCATGGAAGGAAGATGGGGCAATCTACTTTCGTAAAGATAAACCACTGCAGAAACCCAGTGGGGGTTACTATGAGTCGGAATCAACTCGATGGCAGTGAGTTTGGTATTTTTGGTTTAATCTTTATGGAAGGAACCCCGGTATTGCAGTGGTTAAGCACTCATCTGCTAATGAACCTACCAGCCATTCTGCAGGAAAAAGGTGTGGCAGTCTGCTTTCATTAGAGCCTTGGAAGCAGACTGCCTTGGAAACCCTATGAGGTAGTTCTACCCTCACCTATTTGGGGTTGCTATACATCAGAATTGACTCAACAGTGATGAGTTTGGGCTTTTTGTTTTGTTTTGTTTTGGAATCTTTACAGAAACAGATTATACCCATGGAACAGCTGGTAGATTTGAACAGCAGACCTTTCTGTTAGCAGCCAAGAGCTTAACCATTGCATCACCACGGTTCCTTATATAGGATAAAGTATACAATTTGATAGTTTGTAATGACCTCTGCCAATCTGTCACTTGACTCTCAGAACACCTGTGTATTCTTTAGGGATGAATAATCTCCTTTATGATATTGCTGATAAATGTAAAATCAAATAATTAATTTTTTATTATTTCTATATTCCCTTTTTATATGTATTATGGGATTTTATACTTTGAATAATAATTTGTCTCTGTCATGCATTTTTCAAGATGAAAAATAATTTTAATTTTTTCCTCATTATAAAATAATGCCTGCTTATTACAAATTGAAGCAATGTAGGAATTATTATTTAAGAAACCCTGGTAGTGTAGTGCCTAAAGCATTTGACTGCTAACCAGAAGGTTGGCAGTTCAAACCCACCAGCCACTCCGTGGCAGGAAGACTGGGCACTCTACTTCTGTAAAGATTTATTGCCTTGGAAACCCAAAGGGGATAGCTATGAGTTGTAATTTACTTTTTTAAAAAAGACTGTTATTTAAGTACAACATAAATCCATGACGTATACACATCTTACACATACAGTTTAAAGAATCTTTACAAAGTGAGCACTCATGTAAATAGCACCCAGATCAAAAATTAGAGTATTACTAGCACTTCAGAAGCTCCCCTTATGTCACTCCCCAGTTGCCTCCAAAGAGAACTACCACTCTGACTTCTGAAATCTTAAGATGTTTTCCTTGTCTTTGAAGATACCAAGGAGCTCTGGTAGCATAGCATCTAAGGCATTTAACTGCTAACCAGAAGGCTGGTGGTTCAAACCCACCAGCCACCCCTTGGAAGGAAGGTTAGGCAATCTATTTCCATAGTGATACTGCCTCGGAAACCCAGGGACCCAGGGAGGGGTTGCTATGAGTTGGATCCAACTCCATGGCAGTGAGGTTTTTTTTTTTTTGGTTTTATGATACCATGCTTTTTAAAGGCTCTACAGTATTTCATTAAGTGAATGTATCATAGTTTAGGAGCTCTGGTAGCATAGTGGCTAAGGCACTTGACTGCTAACCAGAAGGCTGGCGGTTCAAACCCACCAGCCACTCCTCGGAAGGAAGGTTGGGCAATCCTACTTCCGTAGTGATACTGCCTCGGAAACCCAAGGAGGGGTCGCTATGAGTCAGGGCTGACTCGACGGCACATAACAACAACAACAACAACAATCATAGTTTAACCAACCTTGTACTGATGGATATTTAAATTATTCCTAGTCTTTTGCTGGTAATAGTATTGACAGTAATTCACTGAGTATGCTTGTACATAAATATTTGTTCTCAGGTACAAGCAGATCTATAGAATAAATACCTAGAAGTGTAAATACTGCTTTAAAGGTTGTATGCATTTAAACTTTGATAGATATTGCTAAATTACTTTCCAAAGAAGATGCTCCAATTTACCTTCCTGCCAACAAGTTTGAGATTACCTGTTCCCCTTACCCAAATTCTGACTCATAGCGACCCTATAGGACAGAGTAGAATTGTCCCATTGGTTTTCCAAGGCTGTAATCTTTATGAAAGCATACTGTCATATCTTTCTCCTGTGCTGGTAGGTTTGAACTGCCACTTTTTTCAGTTAACAGCTGAGCATTTAACCACTGTGCAACCAGGGCTCCTAGTCTGTTCCCCCCACACTCACAAATACTTAATTTTTTTTATCTTTACCAATCTGACAGGTGAATGATTAATTATTATTGAGTTAGAACTGAATGATGAATATGTAAATTTTATGTCCAAATGATGATATTAATAATAGTTATCAACTTTTTAGCACCTACTATAGGATCTCACCATGCCAGGATTATTTCTTATCCGATTGAAAGTAGATTACCCTATTGGTTTCCAACACAGTACCACATTTGCTTTTTCATACTTGATATAATCTGTAATTACTTTTTTATTTGTTTACTTATTTATTATCTGTTTCCCCTTCTAGATTTAATAAGTGTCTTTTTTTTTTTAACCGTAACATACCCAGTGCTTAGCATAGAATGTAGTCCAAACGAAAAAACAAACTCACTGCCATTGAGTCAGATTTGGGTTTCCAAGGCAGTATCACTACGAAAGTAGATTGCCCAGTCTTCCTTCCAAGGAGTGGCTGGTGGGTTTGAATCACCAGCCTTCTGGTTAGCAGTCAAATGCCTTAGGCATTACACAGTCAATAAATAGTTTCTGTATAATGAATGAATCCTCTCACCAGTCAGTATAAGTAGGTATTATAACCATTTAATCAAAGTTACTGTTTTGGTTACCTAGTGCCGCTCTAACAGAAGATACCACAAATGGGATGGCTTTAACAAACAGGAGTTTGGAGGCTTTAAGTCTGAGTTCAAAGTGCCAGGCTCTAGGGGCTGGGTGAAAGCCCCTTAACCTTGGGCTTCAGCTCTGCTGCTTGCTCCTGGCCCACTGAAGCTAGAGGCATCTCTTCACTCAGGCAGCTGCTAGCTGCTGAGGCTGACAAACCCAAGGTCGGCAAGTGAAAAGGCACAGTCCCAATATTACCAAACCACATGGCATGCTATTAATTCAAGTTTTATTAAAGTCCTAAGGTCGGCAGAGCATGGCAGGCTGCTGAACAACGACACAGCTACATGCAGGGTTCAAGCATGCCATAAGCTAGAGACTGTTCCTCACGACTTCTCCTTGTATACAGGAAGCAGACCACATCCCTAAAGTAGCTACTCAGCTGCTCACAGTACATTCCACCGTGGAGTTAATTACCAGTCTCACCATGGGAAATAACTACATTCAGCTGCCCAGCTACTCAGTGAGGCCCAGCCAAGTTGACACACAAACTTAACTACCACAGTTTCATTACTAGTAAGTGGCAGAACCAGTAACCTATCCTTAAGCTTGTGTTCTTTGTAGTATATCACCATATGTTTGTGTTTGGCTACTTATCAAACTTCTCCTATTTCCTCAATCTCAGCTGTGTAGTTAAATTTGCAGATAAATGAAGTGTTTTTGCACTTGCTCATATATGTAGTTATGGAATCAGAATACTTTAGGATAGAGTCAGTAAACTTCCTAATGCACATATAAATTGTGAGTATTGAGTTATTTTCTAAGATTCAAATTCCCTAACATTTATTTGCATTATTTTGTTTAACCCTTAACCCAACCATGTGAGGTTGGTAATAAGTGAGAGAAAGGAAATATAGAAATGCCCAGAGAGAGCTGGGCTAGCTGCCCAAACGGGGCATCTGTGAGTGCTTATACTTCCTGGGATAATAGGATCTTGGTAGACTTGGTTCTATTCAGGGTCTAGTCCTTACTTTTGAAAACCTATGATGGAACTTCTTAAAGTATGGCCCATGTACTTCTTGTATCAGATTCATCTGGACTACTTCATAAAAATAGGGATTTTTGGTCTGTATTTCAGACCTTCTGAGCCAGAATATGTGATAAGTAGGACTTGGGAACTTTTATCCAGCTTTTTAGGTGATTCTATACCACTGAAGTCTGAGAATCACTGATCTAGAGACTCATTTTGTTGGTGCACCTGTTATTTCTTAGACTTAAGAAGCTGACTCCTGCAAACCAAACTCATGACAAATAAGTAATAATTTATTGGTTCATAAAGGGCAGTCTGAATTTCCAGTCACCTAAATCTCTTTTCTGTTGTCTGGTCTGCCATTTATCAGTGTCAGGTTACTAGAAAGTCAGAGATGGAGGTTTGGTGAGGGCCTTAGCCAAAATCAAGGGATGCTTCATCTAGGCCATAGAGGATACCTCCTGTGTGCAATCCACTTCTCTTACTATAATAACTCTGGCATATCTCAAAGGCTTTTTCTCTTGTCTCTTAGACAGGATGAGACAAGCACTGTCAGATTCTTCCTCTTGGACTAATCTTTTTCTAGACTGTATATAGATACTCTTCATTTCCACAATCTTCATTACACTAATTCATTCTTTTTTAGGTCGCAGCTTTCTTTCATGTGGAATTCTACTTTGTTGAACTTATCATCTGGCCCCTATTTAAAAGTGCCAGTCTCTTAGGCCTTCTCATGCTTGTTTATGCACCATGTTATACAGTTGTTACAATTTTAGAGGCTAGCTTTGCTCATCTTTTGTTGATTTTGGAATAGTTTTACCATCAGAGGGTAACTGTTGCTTTAGGATTACCTAGGGGCATCACATGATTACCTAGGAGATCGCATGATAGAATTTTGCAAGACCAGTGACGTATTCATTGTAATAACTTTTTTCAACAACATAAGGGGGGCTATACGCATGGACTTTGCTAGATGGAGTACACAGAAATAAGATTGACTACATCTGTAGCAAAAGGAGATGGAAAAACTGAATATCTTCAGCCAAAACCAGGCTAGGAGCTG